TTTGAAAAAAAAAAATATATATATATATTGACAACTTTTTTGTCAAATTTCTTATTTTAACTTTAAAACAATTCTGTAGTTTAGCACACACACACGTCTTGTTTGCTATCCTTGTGGGGACTCTCCATAGGCATAATGGTTTCTCTACTGTACAGACCATATATTCTATTGCCCTACACCAACCCTAGCCCTAAACCTACCCCTCACAGGAAACTTTCTGCATTTTTAGATTTTCAAAAAACTTCATTCTGTGTGATTTATTAGCTTGTTTACCCGTGGGGACCTCAATTTAGGTCCCCACCGTGACATGAGTCTGTGTGTATTCAGGTTTAAGTCCCCACCAGAATAGAAAAACAGGTACACACACACAGTGAAGATGTCCACCTTCAGAGTAACTCACCCTTCTGGGCTGGCTTGTCACATTGCTTTGTAAATCTGAACAGACACTACTTCTTCTGGAAATTTCTGTGTGCATAAAACAGCATTTATTAATGATTAGAGATTTATATTAGGAACTTCATGTTCATAGAGTTTTTAAAAGAGTTGTTCTAAACGTGTATGATGTTATTTCTGTGGAACCCAAAAACAGAATTTTAAAGAAGCTTATGGTACACATTTATAAAAATGTGCGGTTATAAGAATTGAGAAGATCTACAGTATGAGTGAGCACATTTTTAGTTGACTATCCTTTTAACAATGATTCAGTAAAAGAATACACAGTAAATGAGAACGTACTGTAAATGGAGGTTCTCTTGCGCGTGGTTCGCTCTTTCTTGGCAGTTTCAGGTTTCCATACGTCATGAATTTGCTTTGAAAAAAGTTTCCTTTTGGGTCTGTGAGAGAGACAGAATTATTTCAATTTCATGAATTTGTTTTCAATGAAAGCAATTAGCATTAAGACAACTAAATCAAGTAATTTGAGATAAAAAACAATAAGGTAATGTAATTGAGGTCAGCTTCACTTGAGAATTATTAATCACTGATGATTAGTGTCAGGTGTTAGTCAGGTGACTGTTAATGTTCATAGTGTTAGTGTATGTCGCTGTTGAAATCACTTACAAGGCCCTCACCTGATATTTAGCACCAGTGGATCCACCGGTTCCTCATTTCTGTGTAAATAATTAATTTATATTTACAATATTTTATTCAGTTAAAATGCATATTAAATAAAAAATTCACAATTTAAGATTTTACTTTAGAAAAAGTTATTTATTCAATTTATAAATGACCAGAACCAAATAAATAAAATGTGAATTAATTTTATTAACAGACAACTGCAGTTTAAAATTTGATAGATGAAAGAGATGCTTTTACTCTTCTGGTTTGTTTGACTCTGTGCTGGATGGAGTCCTTTCACTTCCATCCTGTTCAGATGAGGTTTTCTCAGATCTCTCATGACGGGCTTGAACCACTTTTAATGCTGCCTAAAACAAACATACACCAAAAAAAAGGGTGAGGCACTTCATTGCATTTCTTGTAATATGCAGCAAAATACACAGTCTATAAATCACAAAGTAAACCATTAGTGGCAAGCAAATCTGCTCTTAAGAGCTCAACATCTTGTCTTTACCTTTATTAGGTGGTTATTGAGTTTTGAGGGTGAAGCTAATTGCACAATTTCCATCCCATACCCTCAGGAAAACACCACAATTCTAAGAGATCGTTAGGCAAATACGGTAAGCACATTGAAAAAAAACGAATTTGGTTTTCGTGATATATCGTACAGTACTCTTGCAAAATCTCATGATCTATCTAGATATGAGGCTTCATCAAAGTTGTAAAAGACTTGTGATAGTGTAAGAATGAGTTAAAAAATTAGAAAACAAATCAGAAAGGTTCTTCAAAAAAGCCATCATTTTACAAAAAAAGTGTGTTTATGAATTTATAGCCGTCATCAGGTTTTCAGAGTGTTTTACATATCCCCCGTCAATGAAGCCCATTAGGACTTTCCCACAGGATGCAGCAAAACAAATCAGAGTTTATCGTAAGGTGGATTCGTTTTTTGGTAAGCATAACAAAAAAAAGTCCTCGTACTTCGAATAAGAAAACGGAGGAACGTCCCTGGCTGAATGTTTTGAGGAATGTGTCAATGTTCTCCAACAGCTGGTCGAAAGTGAAGTTCATCAGGAGCTGATCATACGCGTCCTTCTTACTCACAATGGTGGTCAGCTTTCCTTGTAGTTTCTGTTAGGAAAAAATGATGTTAATTTGCGGCATTGTATGAAAAAGCATGTTAAACTGTAACAGGTAAATAAATACGCACCGCTGGTAACTCAGTCTCTTTTTCCAGCCACTGCAGGGTTTCATTTGCCAACTTTGAATGTCCTTTCTTCACACACACAGCGACAGACTTGGACACAAAATAAAAACAGAATTGTCAGGACTGAATCCCATTCAAACTCTACAATGTGAAACACCTGTCACTCTCAAACATAAATACCTGAACAATCAGTAGCGTCTTGATCTTAGCATGCAAGTCTGAATCGGATACTTCCTGTAACGACTCCCAAATCGGCAACGCTGACATCAAGGGAGTGATTCGAGAAACATGATCATAACGGACTTCTGAAATGCACAACACAAGACAGATTTTGACATGATGGATTAGCTGTCAGAACCACTGAATCTTTTGTTTACATTTGTCTTTGCATCTTAAAAAAACGAATTTGGTTTTCGTGATATACCGTACAGTACTCTTGCAAAATCTCATGATCTATCTAGATGAGGCTTCATCAAAGTTGTAAAAGACTTGTGATAGTGTAAGAATGAGTTAAAAAATTAGAAAACAAATCAGAAAGGTTCTTCAAAAAAGCCATCATTTTACAAAAAAAGTGTGTTTATGAATTTATAGCCGTCATCAGGTTTTCAGAGTGTTTTACATATAAGGCAAGTTTTTTTCTCTCTCTTATGAACAGTTATAAATCTTCACTTCAGTAGCACCTCCAATTCCTCTTTATATTCTTAAGGTTTTAACAGAGGGGTTTGCTTATATATCTCCTGGTTTGTATAAAAAAAAAAAAATCCTAAAAACATTGTAAAAAAGTATTTGTTTTTCTGGCTGTTGACAGCATTTTCTGATTTAAATGCTGATAGAAAAAGATCCCAAATCCCTTCTGTAAAAACACTTAACTCAAATAATTTCAAAATGAATCAAGAATTTTGAACCTGGCTTTATTCGGTGTTCAGATTTCTGTTCTGGAAATGTGTGCCTGTTTAATTAGATAATGCTTATTTGCATAAGTATACATAACAATTCAAGAAGCTTGCAATACAAAACTAATGTCTGAATGTAATGTGATGAATAAATTCCTGTGGCTCAGTGGTAGAGCATTGTGTTAGCAGCGCAAAAGGTTGTGGGTTCAATTCCCAGGGAACACACATACTGGTCAAA